TCAGCATCAGTCAGTACATGTTTCTGTTCATGTCTTCCACCCACAAATTTAATGCCTTTTTCATCTTAACTAAGCACTTATCACACACTGTGGCCATAACTTTTGCAGTTTGAGGTGCAACAAACTAGCACAAATTTATTTTTCCTTCTTTACAATTTCACAGAAAATTCATTCTTAACATAGATCTTAGCAACCTTAGCATACGATTTTTTTTCTTTCCTTGTTAAGTTGAGAACTGTCACCTTTTCACTTAAAGGGAGCAAAGCACTTTACTCTTTGGTGTATTCGAATTGCCAGAATCACTACTCTTGCACTTTGGGGCCGTTATTAAGTAAAATAAGGATTATTTGAACACAAGCACTGCAATACCAAGACAGTCAACCTGATAACACAGATGGCTACTAAATGACTATTGGGTGGATAGCATAGACAGCGTGGATAAGCTGGACAAAGGGAGGGCTTATGTCCTGGGCAGGATAGAGTGGGAAGGTGTGAGGTTTCATCACACTATTCAGAACAACACACAATTTTAAACTAAATTATTTATCCTGAAATTTTCCATTTAATAGTTTCAGACCACAGTTAACCGCAGTAACTGAAACCTTTGAAAGCGAAACCACAGATAAGAGGGGACTCCTGTATATGTTTTCACCTCAAGAGCGTAAAATAATTAAAAAGCAATAAGTTTTGAATGTTACTTTTATTTTTAATCTGTTCAGGCAAAACCCTTGAAAATTTAATAATTGGCTTTTGCCAGCTCCGGTGCACCACTGATAGATAGTTGAATAAAATGGTGGAGGTTGAATACATAGAAACTTACAATTTATTATTGTGCAGGGCAAGAGGCAACAACAGACCAAGGTGATTTTTCAGTTTTAGACCTGAGTGTCAAAGAGAGAATGAGAGTGGGAGGAGATTTGAGAGAAGATGCTGATTAAGCTTGGAATTTGTTTATTTTTGAGAGACTTGAGGGTGGTTTGAATTTTAGGTCTCCACTTGGGCTGAAAGGGTCATCATTTTAGGAATCCTTTGGAGATTATTACTGAGCCATGAAGGAGAATGAGGGAAGGACGGATAGAATTTTGGGGGCATTATCCACATTTGGGGGTCTGGAAGAGGTATATAAATCTGGGAAAGTGGTGCAGATGGACCAATACAGAGGGGCAAGTGGACAATTAACACGTGAGTCAAATAAAAATGTTTAAAAAAACATACTGAGGCATAGTCTGAAAGGGTGCTGATAGATTTCGGAAGATGACATTTAGAGTTCATCTTTAATTTTGGTTTCCAACTTGATAAGAAATCTACTCTGTTACGAAATCAATGGAACCATGATACAGGACCACGATGCAATTCTTTTTGGCTAATTTCATACACCACATGTTTTGGGTTATTTTTTGTTTGGGATAATTACAGAATCTCCTCCCTTCTGCCCATTAATCCCAAGGAGGTATCTGATGTTTCCCAAACCCCCTCAACTAGTGTCAAAGAAACCAAGGAAGAAAGGCTTTTCAAGGAACCTGCGTGAGCGGTAGTCAAATGCTGCTAAAGGAATGTTATAGAAGAGTGGGCTGTAAGAAAGTCCTATATGTGACAATTATTGCTGACCTAAATGGTAGAAAGCAGCGTGAAGCAATAGAAAAGGAAAGGAAACGGGGTGCTAAATTTTAGCATCTCCGAACCTGCATTTGAATGAATCCCTGCTCTGCCATCTACTATGAGCTGTATGACTTCAGGGAAGTTCCCAAATGTTATGAATCAGAGAAGGGGAAAGGAAACTGACATTTACTGACTGCCTCCCAGGCGCCAAGCACAGTGGAGGGAAGGCCCTTGACTGCCATCTCATCTGCCCTGACAATAGATGTGAAAGCAGAAATTTCCTCTCGAATGTAAGACGTATTTATTGGAAATAGGTGGAGAAAAGGAAGACCAGCTTGAAGGGGTAGATCAAAGCAAGATTTTAAAAGCAAACTTTCAAATGCTTCTGCAGTGATTCTGTCACAATTTCCCCTCTGTTACGTTGCCTGTTCCTTGTTGTCAGCTTTAAAAGTAGAATTTAAAAGTGGAGTATGTACCTACAAAGTAACTGCCTCTTCCATTATACTTGCAAAACACTTGGTGTGTTTAATTCAGCCTTAAGATTTAATAGATAATTAGACTCACTAGATAATTAGCTAGAGTTAATTGTCAGTATTATGATTTAAGAAAAATAGGAAAATAGAGAAGAGGTTAAGTGACTTTCTCAAGGACACACAGCCATTAGTATCTGAAAAAATGCTTTGAACCTCATGGTCTTGCTTTAAGTTAAAACACACGTCCAATGTTTAAAGCCCTCAAGAACTCTTCGCCCTAGAGAACAGGTAACACACAAGTTCTGAGGCTCAGTCGGCTCCTTCCCTACATTCCACATGAATAGCAAGATTGGGCAGTTAACAGTATTTTGTGTTTTGGGGCAAAAACAGGTTGTGTTCAAGTCATAGCTGTTCTTCTTTTGTTTCTCTCCATCCCACAGTTCATAATTTAGATGCAGGGACATATGTGATTTTTTTTCCTCCTTCAATTTTTGGGAAAAATACATCATTGCCATCACAAAAAGGTTAATACTGTTTAGAGCTGGAGTAATTCCTACTAATTTTGCAAGATTCTGTGGTATCTTTTTCCCAGAATATAAAACAATACATCCTCCAGACATTTGAATGGTCCCTGATGCATATTTTGGGAAAATATTCCTGCCGTTATCTAGAATTGACTTGATATGTAGGGCTCAGTTATAAAGTTTACAGTGTGGTCTCCACTAGGAAGAACTGCATGAAGCTGTGTCCAATTAGAAGCAATGCACAAATGGAATGAAGACAATTTAGAAAGATGACACAGAAAGAACGAAAGATGTTACGATCTTAGAACCTGCCAAACACAGGGTTTGAAAGAAACCTAGAAAGACAAACCTTTTCCTGGTGAAGTCCTACTTAGATTCTTTTCACTGCAATCCAACGGCATATCAAGAGACCAAGACACAGAGACAGCTTAAAGCATTTTCCTATCTCCTTATTCCCTAACAAACACTACACAGAGCAATCCTCATATATTCCCCGCATAGCCAAACCCTTGCCAAATGTAGGATTTCTTCTACTGAGAGTTCTGCTTCCTAAGTAGGCTTATCTTACCTGGATGGGATGCTCATTACCTAAGGCCTCTCATAACCATCACTAATTCATTCACTTATTCCACAAACATGGTTAAACACTTGCTGTACACTCGGTGCAGGGCACACAAAGATAACAAAAAAAAAGCAATTCCTGCTCTCAAGATGGCCACTGTTTGTTCATGGGTGGCTGCCAACAATTAATAATATGGTTTGACTGGGGCTGTAGTGGAGGGGTATTTGAGGCACCGAGGGATCTGGGGCAAAGGGTGATTAATCCTGCCTGGGGAGGGTGGAGATTAGGAATGACAGCAAAAACTTGCCATTTAATAGGCTTATTTAGTAGAACAAAGTAAATGAAATGGGACTTCATGGCTCTCGGTACATTTGGACCAACGGGCTACCAGAGCTCCATATTAATGCTTACATCAGGTTTCTCATTTGTTCTGCGCTAAGGTATGTGCTGTCATTTTTAAGACTCTCTGTTTCAGAAGGCTTTTGCATGATATCTCAATGTCATGTCAGTTTGTGGGTTTAAACTTTGAATGGAGTCTTAGAATCAGTATCCAAGGGCCCTCTGGCATAGGACATAAAAAAAGTAAGCAATTTCAAAATAGTCAATATGTCAAATTCTCACTCAGCCAGTCTTTAAACTACAGGGCTCCTATATGGAAGCCGCATTTGATAAACACTGTTCAGTAATTAAAAGTATTATTTTGTTTTAGAAAATGCTCCCTTACCACCTTGCAGCCATTTGGTACCAGAGAAAAATTGCCATTTCACTTGAGACAGGAGCCCTGGTGTTCGTTAAATTTACTCATTTGGGAGTTCTGGTATATTCCTTGCACAGGTGCCTATGAAAAATTTCACATGTAGCTCCCAGAACCAGCAGTAGCTGGTTCCTTCTCTTTTGTTATCCCAGCATCCTTAATTGCCCATCCTTCCTGTCCTTCAAGTCCCATCTCAAATGCCACATCATCTACAAAACCAACATATCCTTTTTTTTCTTGTATTATAAATAGTTAAGTAGAGCATGAAGACTCTTGATAGACTCTGAACTCTTTAAAGGTAGGATCTAAGTCATCCTTATTGTTGTAGCCCCTATTTTTCTTAGTAAAGTACATCACTGCTCATGGAATGAAGAGATGGACAGATCAATGAATGGATGGGCAGATAAATAAACATACAGATACACAGAAGACAGAAACAGTGACATGTAGCGATAAAGGAAGCTATTGTTTGGTATCTAAGGCGGCGATGCATACCTGTTCCTGTTGAGTACATGTGTACCAGGCAAAGAAACATGCAAGATCAGGAGAAAGAAAACATTTTGGATTGAATCATGCTTGACACATAAATGTACTCAGCCTCAAAAGTTTGATAAATAGGAAACATACAAGGCTTACCTGGAGATTGTAAGGGCAATCTTTATTTTTTGTATGATGAACTTAAAGACTGAGACAGTTTATTTAAAAATACGGCCTAATTAGATCTTTACCAATATCAAAAAATATCTTCTAAACAGCCTAAATGGTTGTATTTTTTTCAAAATGGTTTCAAAATAGTGTCTACTTTGTACTGCATGATCAAGGGGCATAGTAATTATGGATTTAATGTTTTTTACATTTCGAAACCAAACTAATTTTACTCAATATTTTGTTCCCTACACTCTGGTTATAGTTCCTAGATCATAGTTTTGACTTTAGAGTGTTCCAAAATCATCACAATAGCTATTTGAGTAGAATAGAATTAATGGATATAAGAGCTAGTTAATAAATAAAAAAATAATACTTCTTTTGTGTGTTGATTTCCTGATAGGTTTATTTGGGCTTTTCTTTTCTCTTTATTTTCCTTATAGTGCGGGAGTTGGCCGGACTGGTTGTTTCATCGTAATAGATGCCATGTTAGAAAGAATAAAGCATGAAAAAACTGTAGATATTTATGGCCATGTAACTTTAATGAGAGCCCAGAGGAATTACATGGTTCAAACAGAAGACCAATACATCTTTATCCATGATGCACTGTTAGAAGCAGTGACTTGTGGAAATACCGAAGTGCCAGCTAGGAACTTGTATGCCTACATTCAGAAGCTGACACAAATAGAAACAGGAGAGAATGTCACAGGAATGGAGCTCGAATTTAAGGTATGGTATTGGATGTGATGTGGTTATTCAGGAGCCAGTCATTCTGAGATTGTCTTTGAGTAGTGGCTTTACTTTCTTAACCTTTCAGATTTGTGAAGTACGAGATTCATTTGACCTTTATCTCAGGTGTCAGATTATTAAACACTTTCTTCCTCTCTTCCTCTTCTCTTCTTTGTTTCCTAACCTAATAATACCATGGGCCTTTTGTATTCTAATCTAAATTGAGAGATCACATTCTCAGAAAATATTTAAAAATTCAATATGCTATATATGGAGTAATTAGGTAGAAGTGAAAAGCCATGCAGTTTGAATAGTCATTTACTTTAAAGTAAACAAAAGATTTATATCCAAAAGGGAAATCTTGGGTACATTGCATTCAAACCATAGGCTAAAATTATCTTTGTTGGATTTTTGTTTTTTTCTATTCAACAGCGTCTAGCCAGCTCAAAAGCTCACACCTCAAGATTCATCAGTGCCAATCTTCCATGTAATAAATTCAAAAATCGCCTTGTTAATATTATGCCATATGAATCCACAAGGGTATGCCTGCAACCTATCCGAGGAGTAGAAGGATCTGATTACATCAATGCCAGTTTTATTGATGGATACAGGTATATATTCTTGCTCCCCTGACTATCCAAAGCCTTGATATTTACATGCGCCCTAGTTTCATAACCAGAATAAATTTCATCTCAATTCAAAGCCATTTTCTTTCTGCATAGGTCAGCATTTAGTCCCTTGGTATTTGTTTTTTGTTATTTTGGATAGGAGTAAGAAGCAGTAGTTATGGAGTGTTTAATCTGGCCTTCTGTACTCTTCTTTCAGAAGCCATTTGGATTTGGAAGGAATTAATAAAGAATCTGTTTTGCAGCATATTTCATAAACTTAATAGATTGTGTGAGAGTCATTTCTAGAAAAGCTGCACAACTAAGTGTTTCTTAAGTGATTTGTATGACACATGAAATTGAGCTATTAGCATTGCACTAAAGTTTAAATAATAATGATAAAGACATACATCATAATATTAACAAAGCAGTTTCTTTTACAAAGTCCTCAGAATGTATTAAATGCTCTTATTTGATTATATAATCTTAATGGGAATTTACTGCAATTGCATCGATAATATGGTTTCATTTTCTGTTACCAGGTTTGATGTTTACATACCAAATGTGAGCTTTTGCGTGTTTTCTAAGCACTTTAACACGCTCTTTTCATTCTCTGTAATTCAGACAACAGAAAGCCTACATCGCTACCCAGGGTCCCTTGGCAGAGACCACTGAAGACTTCTGGCGGATGCTCTGGGAACACAATTCCACCATCGTTGTGATGCTCACCAAACTGCGTGAAATGGGCAGAGTAAGTGTGTCGCCCTCATGTGTCTCCTCCTAAGACACATCTGCTCTACGAAGAAATGAAGGTTTCATCTTAATAACTCAAGTGCCAGTGTCATTTTTTCAAAATACAGAGTACTCGGGACACAATCTGTACCATCTATTACTCCTTGTTGATTTCTAATTTGCAAAGCCACATCAAGTTATTAAATTTCTGTGTTTTGAAGAAAGATCTAGTGCTTTGTTTCCAATGAAGCACAATTGTAGGGACAGATCAGTAAGCAGGTGTCTTTGTTTGACTATATATGACTCTCAGCATATTCTTTTTTTTTTTTTGCTCTGAATGGCTGGAGTTTCATGAACAAAAGTGCTGTCATTTCTCTGTTTGAAGGAACCAGCTTTCTTTTATTCTTGAGGCAAATTCTTACTTGCCTACGTTCCACTCCCATTGAACAAACTGTTAGAAAGTTACATGATTTTTCTAAGGATAAAATCTGGTAACCCCAAATCCACTTTTAAAAATTGATTGTTCTACAATATCCACAAAACAGTATTAGAGATACCTAAGGTATCTGTTATTACTACTATTAATACTATTCTACTATTATTGCTTAATAGTATTAGAGATACCACTTAGATTCAGCAGATGCAAGCATTTTGTCATATTTTCTTGAGATATTTTATCCCTTCTTTGTACAAATTAAACGTTAGAAGTATAGCTAAAACCCAGCTTTCAGAGCCCACAGAGAGAACAAAAAGAATATCAGACCAGAACTGTAACTGACTATTCCGATTTGGCCACTGACTCTGCAGTGTTTAGCCAACCCATTAAAACTGCCTGGGCCACAGTTTCCTTGACAAGTAAGATGGGAAAAAATCATTTCAGAGGTTTCTTCCTGTGTTCACATTGATGGTTCTCTTCACTGCAAAGCACAGTGGTACCAGTGTGCTGTGGTGGTGCGTTGCACGACTGATATGGCCAGCATTATCCAAGGACTGATGTAATTATTGGGATAACTTGCAGGTGTGAAGATGCTTACCCCATCCAAGCATTCAATTCAACTGATGTGTATTCAGCAGCTACTATATGCCAGTACTGTGCTGGATACCATGGGAAAATAACGAACTAGATGGTTTCCCTATCTTCGGGGAGCTCATGGTTTCAAAGAGAAAATGAGTCACATGCAATTGTAATTGCCTTAAAGTTTGAAATTTTATTAATGAGATAAAGAAATTAGATAGATAGATGATAGACAAAACTTCATTTATATTTTGTGTAGTTTAACATTAACCTTCTCTCCTTTTAGGAGAAATGTCACCAATACTGGCCAGCAGAACGATCCGCGAGATACCAGTACTTTGTTGTAGATCCCATGGCTGAGTACAACATGCCACAGTATATCCTAAGGGAATTCAAAGTCACAGATGCCAGGGTAAGTTGGCACAGTCTTCAACTCTTAACCATTAGCCAAAAAGTCGTCTAAAATACACCTCTCTGGGAGAAACATTTGCCAAGGACCATACTCCCAAAAAGAAAAGAAATCAGCCATCCCGGAGGACCGTTTTTTTTAATATAAGAGTAACTTTTCCTCTGTCTGGCAAGCATTCTCACAAACCCAAGCTTGGCATCTATTCAAATATAACATCTGGCAGCCCAACTTTAGGGATGCACTTGGTGAGTGTTTGTGCTGGGAAGCATTTACTGATTGGTTGGCTGGGCTTACATTCACCTTCTCAGCTCATTCTCTTCGGAGCATTTTTTGACTTCTTCATTACTTGAGGCTGTAAATATGTTGTTGTTTTGTAAAGCCCTTTAGGTCATGTGGGCCCAGAGGTTAATTTGGTATGATTTTAAAACTGCAGAGCAAATGGCATTCTTTAGAAAAATCTGACAAGCTTTGCACATTCTAATTTGATTCCTGGCAGAGTTTATTCTTCGGTGTGCTAATGTGTCTGTCCATGAGAGCTGTGCACCCACGACCCTTGTTGGCTAATTTTCATTCTGCGTTTCTTATCTAGATTGCCGAGTCCAAGGTTCAGCCCTGATGTAAGATGTTCTGTGCATAAACTTTAATATATTTGCCTTTGGCCACTTTCAACCATGATTACAAACACATCTTGGGGAGACCGGGTCAATTCAAAGACCTGTTTTGTTTTTTTGTTGTTTGGAACTGTCACAGTGGGTGGGTTGATTAAAACTTCAGGATAGAGCTATTTACTTGATCCATTGTTTTTTTCTGGAAAGCTCTTTCTCTAAACTTATGTTTGGAGATTGTTTTGCTAATCCCCAAAGGCCAGCCCTAGCTGTTGACCTTAAATGAAAGAGAAATTGGTTAGCAGGAGGGTCGGCCCAGGTAGCAGACCTGTTAATCCCAGAAAGTCTAACGTATTAACTACTATGAAGGTGCCTGTACTCAAGGCAGCAGTTAAGTCCCTCGGTCTCGTTTCTGAGTTGTCCAGGCAAGCATGCTTTGGTGACCTGCCCCATTGTTAAAAAAAAAAAAAAAATCATGCCCTTTCAGAATTTAAAGCTAGGTATGTGACTGGAAATCTTAAGTGCATTTGAGGTAAACTCACCAACCACTCCTGATGATATAGACTAGGAACCAAGCTCCACCAATGGCAGGGATACCTTTTCGACTCCCCATCTGACCAAATTAAATCTGATCACAATAAGCAAAAGAAGATTGAAACCAGAACTTGCTCACATGTTTAAAAAACAAAGTCTCACTGTGACTGTATAATTTTCTTAGCTACCATCGCACTTGCTGTTTGCACTCCTGGTGTGTTTCTAATCTCAACTTCCCAGTTTAGGAAGCAAGTTGGCACTTGAGAATACAGTACTGTTGAACAGGTAACCTTTAAACGGAGTCAGGTGGTCTTTCCTCCAAATAGTAAGGGTTTGTGCACGTGACCTCTTCTTGCTATTAAAAGCAACTGTGGTCAGAAATGAAATCCCTAGGACATTCAGAGGAGAATAAATCTGTATTACCCGGCCTCTGGCTTTGCTTACTGTGCTTCTTAAATCTTTTCTGGAAACAAAGGGAAGTAAATCATGCTTCCATGGTAACCATCCACAAATTAGTTATGGGGCCAAATACTTATTTCTGTATTCCTCTGTATTCTCAAAAAGTTGGATTAATCTTCCTGTTTTACCTCCATCCCCAAATAAAGTTAGTCAGTAACCTACCCTGTGTCTGTGAAAAACACCAGGCTAGTTGATGTGCCCACCTTGAGTTGAGCCACTCCCCCTTCTCAATATGACTGAATTAGAAAGATTGCATCTCTGTCTGCTTACCCAGAATGCTGGGAAGATGCACACCTGTATCCAGAAGAACTTTGGTGGGGAAAGAGGTGTTAACAAAAATAAAACGGAGAAACAAGTCAGAAGCCTCTTCAAAGGGAAGAGACCATTTTGAAGTAGGGCCTCTTCAAGTGGATTCGGTCCGTGTAAGCTTAGAGTTTGGATTATCTTTCTCCTCTGATGAGTCAGGGGAGGAGGTTGATGGGTATAATTGATATTCCTGGTTCTGTAAACAGAGGGCTGCTTCTGCTCTTGTTGTGCTTCTAAAAACACCTTAAAATCCTAGAAGGAATCAGAAGTGACTTAGTATCTTCTTTTTAACCCAATTATATACTATAAGGCAGAGCAGTTTTGCCTAATCACTCTAGAAAAGAAAGACCCTTCTTGCATCTGACTTGTTTTTCTTTTTTCTACCTTTTGGTTTATCTGTGTTAAAGGCCCCCCATAGCCTTCTTAATTCCTGTGGTCAGCAAGAAGAATTCTGTTTCAGAAAAGGGCATTTATTTGCTGATAATCTCTTGTTTCCTTGAGGGATGCTTCACTTCCTGCTTAACAGCATAGTCACACAGCACATGCTCTGTCCCCTGCCATGGCTAGAAATTGTATTCCTCTGAGACTTGTGGGGCATCCAGGTTAACAGCAACTACCCGGTTTGTGTCAGATCCTTTAAATGTCACCATTTGTCATTTGACAATGCTAGAAATAGGCAAGCACAGCAGATGTGAAGTTATCGTGACAACAGCAAAATCTCTGGTCTGGATGATATGCCTGGATGCTCCTTTCAATATTGGAAAGTTATTGGATTCTGAAATTTTTGAAATAGAGTATGTAAGCTCCACTTTGAAAAGAATGTGGATGTGGTCAATGGTAATGAACCCAAACTTTGGGTCTCAGAAGCATTTGCTAATAGGAGAACTATATGGCTGTTTACTATCTGAGAACCTAGGTTTTTAACTGGGCATTTTGAGAGTAAATAAACTTGTGATTTAAATATATGTGAATGTAGAAGGTGCTAATAGTAGATAAGACACACACATAGCCAAGTTTCTAGTTAAACACGTTTCTAACTTTTTCTACCCCTTTTATTTTTGCAAAAAAAAAAACCATTATGATTGCTCTTGTGGTCTGCGCGCTTGCTGAATCCTTCTGGCATGCTCCTCTGTGGCCGGCTATGTGGCTTTCCCTCTAAAGGACGGCCAGTCCCGAACAGTGAGGCAGTTCCAGTTCACTGACTGGCCAGAGCAAGGAGTGCCAAAGTCTGGAGAAGGATTTATTGACTTCATCGGCCAAGTCCATAAAACAAAGGAGCAGTTTGGCCAAGATGGACCCATTTCAGTCCATTGCAGGTAAGTTAAAATCAAGAATGCTAAGTTTCCACTTGTGATTAAAGCAATGATAACTATGAAAATAAATGTTGTTTATTCATTGTACAAGCTTGTTGCAGTGACTCTGATCAATTGAAACTTTATTCTCAGAAATGTATTGTGAAATTTAAAGCACGATTCATTTTGCTTCCTTTTCATAAAATGAAAATAATCAGAGGAAAATGTTTATCCCCAAAATTCACTTTCTTGTAAGAAAAAAGCAAACCATGGTTTTCCTTGCCAATTTGACCTTAACAGAAATTGTTGGTACATCCCCTAGTAATAATTTGTTCTATTAATCATTTCTTATTTGCTTTGCTTTCATAGCATTACACTGATAATTATCTTTCTGTATCTTTTTTTTGCGTTTGTCTTCTTGGAAAAACCATAAATAGCTATCAAGCCTTAATGACAATACTAATTCTTGCCAGTCAATAAGTGATTAGAATGGTACCTCAGTTAAAAATGCAATTTGCTTGAAAATTGTTGCTATATCAGAAAATGAAGGACCTTCAAGTTAATTATTTTCAATAGTTTCTAGAGCATTTTATAATTTAAGTCATTGAAGTTAATAGAAATAGCAAGTAAATGGTTCAGACATTCACCATAAATTTAGTGCTTTTGGAAGTTGCTATGAAAAAACCCCTCTAGCAAAAGGAATTCACCTAATTTTACTTAAACAAACATATTTTAGATTTCTAGAAATAGAAGTCTAAGTTTCTAATCTCTTTATGGTGGAAATCTTGAGAGAATTTATTAAAAAATATGTTTTACTTCAGCACTTCAAAAAAAACCCTATTGTTCTTAATGAAATAGGAGGCAGGATCTCAAAATAGGACAAATACTAGACTTGGGCCAAAATACCTGTGTTCTAGTCCTACCTCTGCTATTACGTAGCTCCTTGACTATAGGGAGATTTCTCTGGACCTCAGTTTTCTCAGCTGGTTGTCTAAAATCCTTTCTAGCACCCTTTGTTTCTCAGGCATGGTGTATCATATGAGAAACAGACTTTATACATATACAGACTTTATACATGAGAAACTTATTTATACATATTTGCTTTGTATTGAGTTATCAAAAATCCTTTGTGCTATACGATGAAAGAACATGTAGAAAATGACATATGGATCAAATACAGGCATACCTCGGAGATATTGCAGGTTTCATTCCAGACTACCACAATAAAGTTAATATCTCAGTAAAGATTGTCACACAAATCTTTTTGTTTCCCAGTGCATACAAAAGGTATGTTTACACTATAGTCTATTAAGTGTACAATGGCAATATGCCTCAAAACCAACGTACATACTTTAATTAAAAAATACTTCATCACTAAAAAATGCTCACAATCATCTGAACCTTTAGCAAGTTGTAATCTTTTTGTTAATGAAGAGTCTTGCCTGATGTTGATGGCTGCTAACTGATCAAGATAGTGGTTGTTAAAGGTTGAGGTGGCTGTGACAATTTCTTAAAATAAGACAACAATAAAGTTTACCACATCAATTGATGCAGTCTTTTACGAGAGATTTCTCTGTAGCATGTAATGTTGTTTGATAGCATTTTACCCACAGTAGAATGTCTTTCAAAATTGGAGTCAATCCTCTCAAACTCTGCTGCTGCTTAATTAACTATGTACTATTCTAAATCCTTTGGTGTCATTTCCACAATGTTCACAGCATCTTCACCAGAAGTAGATTCCATCTCAAAAAAACACATTCTTTGCTCATCCATAAGAAGCAACTCTTCTTCCATTCATGTTTTATCATGAAATTGAAGCAATTCAGTAGCATCTTCAAGCTCCACTTCTAATTCTAGTTATCTTGCTATTTCCACCACATCTGCAGTTACTTCCTCCATTAAACCCTTCAAAGTAATCCGTGAGGGTTGGAACCAACTTCTTCCAAACTCCTGTAATGATTGCATTTGACCTTCTATGACTGATGAGTGTTCTTAATGGCATCTAAATGGTGAATCATTTCCAGAAGGTTTTCAATTTACTTTGCCCAGATTCATCAGAGAAACCACTGTCTATGGCAGCTATCACTTTATGAAATGTATTTCTTAAATAATAAGACTTGAAAGTCAAAATTACTCCTTGTTCCATGGGCCGTAGAGTTGATATCGTGTTAGCAGGCATGAGAACAACATTCATCTCATTGTACATCTCCATCAGAGCTCTTGGGTGACCCAGGTGCATTTTTTTCTGAGCAGTAGTTCTCCACAGTAGATTTAAAATATTCAGTAAGCCAGGCTGTAAACAGATGTGCTGTCACCCAGGCTTTGTTGTCCATTTATATAGCTCAGGCAGTATAGATTTAGAATATTTCTTAAGGGCTCTAGGATTTTCAGAGTGTCAAATGAGCCTTGGCTTCAATTTAAAGTCACCAGCTTCCTAACAAGAGAGTCAACCTGTCCTTTGAAGCTTTGAAGCCAGGCATTGACTTTTCCTCTCTAGCTACAAAAGTCCTAGATAGCAACTTCTTCCAAGATAAGGCTGTTTCATCTGCCTTATCATTTGCAAATCTGTTGTTTAGAGTGGACACCTTCATCAATTATCTAAGCTAGATCCCCAGGATAACTTGCTGCAAGTTCTCTACTTCACCTTGCACTTTTCTGTTACGAAGATGGCTTGTTTCCTTAAACCTCATGAACCAACCACTGCTAGCTTCAAACTTCTCTTCTGCAGCTTCCTCACCTCTCTCCACCTTCATAGAATTGAAAAAGAGTTGGGGCCTTTCTCTGAAGTAGGCTTTAACTTAAGGGAATGTTGTGGTTGGTTTGATTTTCTATCCAGACCACTCACATTTTCTTTATATCAGCAATAAAGCTGTTTTCCTTTCTTATCTTTCATGTGTTCACTGGAGTAGCACTGTTAATTTTCTTCAAGAACTTTTCTTTTGCATTCACAACGTTGCTAACTCTTTAGTGCAAGAGACCTAGCTTTCAGTCTGTCTTGACTTTTGACATGCCTTCCTCGCTAAGCTTAATTATTTCAGCTTTTGATTTAAAGTGAGAGACATGTGACTCTTCCTTTCACTTGAACTTAGAGGCCATTGTAAGGTTATTAACTGAGTTAATTTCGATATTGTGTCTCAGGGAATAGAGAAACCTGAAGAGAGAGAGAAAGGCAGGGGAACAGCTGGTCAGTAGAGCAGTCAGAACATATGTAAGATTTATCAATTAAGTTTGCCATTTTATATTGGCACGGTCGTAGTGTCCCAAAACAATTATAATAGTAACATCAAAGATCACTGATTGTAGATCATCATAACAGATATAGTAATAATGAAAAAGTTTGAAATGTTGTGAGAATTACCAGAACATGACACACAGACACAAAATGAGCACATGCTCTTGGAAAATTGGTGCCAGTAGACTCACTCGAGTCAGTGTTGCCACAAACCTTCAATTTGTTAAAAAAAAAAAAAA